CGGTGCTCCTCGATACCGTCCGTATTGTTTGCCTATTTTTACCTTATTCCCCTTAACCTCGGCTGTTTGGTCTCCTCTGCCGAGGGCTTCCATCTGGTTAGGTTTTAGCTATTTATTTAATTATATTTTATCACACGCTCAACCATAGCTTCTCTTTCGGACTAGATTTGATCCCAACTGGCCCAAGCATTCGGCTAGTACCTCTTCATTACCGTGCTGTTGTCTTCATACCCGTAGATGCCGGAAGTAAGCAGAACATTAATGTGCACCGGGAAGAGAACTGCGGAGAGAACAGACCCCTGAAGAACTCTAGCGTTTGTCGCGATAGGATTGAACGAGCTGCCATCGACGATAACATGGAGAGATTGTTCAATCAGAAAGTTCATTACCCAGTCAATCGGGCCAAGGGATAATTGTACTCTAGAAGCTTGCCCAAAAGGTTACCGTGCCAAACCCGGTCATAGGCCTTAGACACATCAGAGGAAATAGCAAGTGCTTCCACACAGTTCTCGAGTGCTTCGAGGGAGGGGTAAGTGGCATACCCTAGAAGGTTACCAGTTAATCGATTTTGGCGAAATATAGTAGATATACTTATGTTATAAAATTGACGATATTATCTATGTGTACCTATTGATTAAAAATTTTAAATATATTATAGCAGAGGCTTATAAACTTAAGATAAGATGCCAAAGAACCATTTTAATAATATCATCTGTCTGTCCGTTTAAACCTAACAATTTTGTCACCTTGAATCTGAATAATGTTATGATTTTGCTCGGTATTGTAGTGTTTCACTTAAATATTTGGAATTTGAGGCTTATTGTTACTGGGCTCTTTCTTGCACTGATGTGATCCGGTCTAAAGTGCATAAAGCCAGTATAATTACGGGCCTGGAGGCATTCCATCTTAATTCTCGGAGGTGACGCATCTGTAGGCTTCTTTATTTGAAGTTAGCTGCAGTAGCCACTTGGATATTGAGTAAATCGGAAAAGGTTTTACCAAGGGCATTGTGTAGGCGTAAAAAGGAAGCTTCTGTCAATATCCCCATCACGAATTTTTTGTTAAGGAATGTTTGCAATTTATGAAAATACAGCAATAACCGTTACCGTTAAAGCCTACTAAAATTCCACTGCTGGATAAAGGCTTCCTATTGCCTCATTGGGAGATATTTACCACAGTTGCCACGCTTGGCACTTGTGGCAAATATCTCCGAATTTTGTGTTGTATGAAGCGAATGTTTGTCTATTTCCTTGTTTATTTTTTTGTGTTACCTGGTACAACACCCACGGCACGATATGGGCTAGCGGATATACTTATACTACCACAACACGGTAAATTAACCACAACTTATTAATTACAACATAGTCTGACTATATGTGAAAAATGTCTCCTGTCTGCCTCCAAAACTTTTTAGACATGGCTGAGCCACGCTGCAACAAATTACAGCTGCAGCACGCTCATGTCGGCACAATGAAAGAAGGGCCACACTCACAGATTACTATGGTAGTGGTTTATTACTGGTAACGAGGCATTTCATCTAAAGTATAAAAACAAAACCAATGTAAGGTTATTAGGAATAGCGGAGGTGCGTAACTTTTTGATAGTTATATTATTTATTATTATTATTATATATTTAAGTAAACCATATAGTTTTGAAAAATGTCTAGCAAACAAAAAAAGTAGACTTCTTATAAATTTTGTAATAATTTGAATAATTGTATAACGACAAATACACAAGATGGAAAGATATAGATAATAAATAGTCAACTCCACAGTCGTTTTTAAGGTTAATGACCGTTCGTATCGCTGCTAGTTGGCCGAACTTTAAGTCCTCAGGAGTGACGACGCATCTGCATTTTGATTTTTATTTGGGATTATATGTAGGTGTCTACGGGCCATAGCATCGCCTAAGTAAGGTGAATTGTATGCTCGTTTTTCACTCTTATTTATATAAATAGATTAGATGCTGAATGTTGCGTGTGTGGCGCTAATGACAAGTAACACTAATAGACAATTTCTCAATGTCCTTTCTAATGGGGGGTGTTTGCCATCGTTGGTAAGCATGTCAGGTGGGTTGGCAACTCCATTTTTGGCCAGATATGGCTTAGGACTGTACTTTGTAACATGTCTTGCCCATGTTTTGCTGTGGACTTATAACAAATTGACCACTACACAAAATCCTAGTTCACTATAACTACGTAATTAAACCACTATAACTATGTTTCTACTCCAGCGTTGCAAGTTGCAACCAAAAGTGTGCAGCCGGGGGAAAAGCTAGTAGACTAATACCTATCTTGTACTGGAGCATCAGAAGCACAAACAAAACGAAAAACCTGATAATGTAATCTTTATTTAATAGACAATAAAACTAAACTGTTCCTTTGTGTTTTCCTAATTTAGTCTAAATCTTGCGTTCATGAAATTTGCTTTAATTTTATTGTTCTTGGAGACTACGAGGGTGGATTGAAAAGTACTCGGCCTAACCAAGAAAATAAACACATACTAAATCAGTTATATTTTTATTTTTCTACATAATCACCATCAAGTTCAATACACTTTTGCCACCTCCCCCTTCCAAGCATTTAGACCGTTGAAAAAAAATGATTCTTCCTTAGAGTCAAAATATGCGTCTACAGCTGCTCGTCGTTTGTCGAAAATCTTTGACCTCCCAAGTGCTTTTTTAGGTTAGGGAACAGAAAGAAGTCTGATGGTGCCAGATTAGGTGAATACGGCGGATGCGGTAACAGTTCAAAGCCACAGTTGTGAATTTCAGCCATTGACTGTACTGACGTGTGAACACGGGCGTTATCTTGATGAAACAGGACTTTTCTTCTGAGCATTCCTCGACGTTTTTCTTTTATTTCCTCTCGTAAACGACGTAGTAAGGTGCAGTAGTAATCAGAGTTTATAGTCTGACCCCTTTCAAGATAATCAATCATAATCACACCTTTCGAATCCCAGAATACTGAAGCCATCACCTTATTTGCCGACAAAATCGACTTAGCCTTTTTTGGGGGGTGGTGAACCAGGTCTTCTCCACTGTTTTGATTGTTGTTTTGTTTCCGGTGTACAGTAATGAACCCATGTTTCGTCCATGGTAACAAAACGATTCAAAAAATCATCTGCATCGGCTTCAAACAACTCCAAACAGTCGCGTGAAATAGTCAATCGCGTCCTTTTTTTGTTCAACTGAAAGCAGTCGCGGAACCCACCTCGCAGACACCTTGTGGAAACCCAACTCGTTGACAATGATGTTTTGAGTTCGTTCATAAGAGATGCCTATAATCTCGGCTATCTCTCTAATTTTTAATCTGCGGTCTCCAATTATTAAATCAAGTACTTTTTTAATATTTTCGTCAGTAGTTGACGTCGAAGGCCTTCCAGAGCGGGGTTCATCTTTCACACTCTCTCTACCACGCTTAAATTCTGCTATCCATTTTTTGACGGATGAATATGACAGAGCATAATCGCCTAATGTACATCATGGATGGCTTTTGATGATAGCCCCTTCTTATGGAGGTACTTAATGACGGCACGCTGCTCGATTTGCTCCATTCGTGGAAATTATGTCCGATTACTTTGTTAATAAATTTATAAAATCACAACTAATTATCGCACACGTTTCGAACTTCACACAATGAACTAGTCTGAACTGAACTAAATAATGTGGGTAGATTTGATTTTTAGAATTGAATGGATCTGTGTTAGGCCGAGTACTTTTCAATCCACCTAGGTATTTCAACGAAGGTACAATATGGTGTCGCCGGTCGCTAAGCAGGTAAATAAGGATTTATTATTACTGTTTGCAAGTGACTTCTATATAGATAGTCCGCGTGAACTTTTAAGATTCTAAATGGAAGGACTCCTTTTAAAGTTACAAAGTGTTGTAGACAACAGCAACCGTACTTATGACATTATAGCTAAATAAATTGACAGGTTATGTGTGGTTAATTTATATAAATTATAAAGCAAATTTTGTGCATTTGTGTGCTGCAAATTCCTTTATTTGCTCATCATAGTATAAATTAAATAACTATTTACGGAAAGGATTGACAAATCATTTAGTCGATAGTTCGACATTATGTACAACATCCTGAAGGAAGGCTTTACAGCTAGTGATGAACAATGTTATAAAATATTTAAGATGGTATAGCAATTAGAGGGAAAACATCAAAAATTTTATTTTCATAAATTAGCATAAAAATTTAATTGCAAGAGGTGTAATACTGGTTTAGACTGTAGTAAATCAGATTTTAACTGAATGCACCCATTAAGTAAATATTCGTCTATGTCATCTAGATAATAATTAATAATACTTATTAGATTCTTAAATTGTTTGCTACATGTCTCACAGATTTGGCTTCTTTTATTTAAATCCAAAATCAGCGTCAACAAAAATCAACGCAACGTTTATCTATGTTTCTATCTATTTAAATTTTTCTGCGCAGTGTACTGAGACTTATTTTATATTATTTAAAAAAATTCTTTATTGCGTCCCCTTAGAAAAAAAAAGGATACACAGGGCGGACTTAATGCCTAAAGCCCCGTCTATATGCTTGGCAAACAATAACGAACAGCAAACACCAACATGTGGATGGGTGTTTGTATGTGTTTGCCTGTTCTTATTTATGTTCGCCACTGTTCGGCGTCGGTGTCGGTTTTTCTTCACAAATCAAAGGCTGTTTGGCAAACAGTTTTCGATGTCTCCAAACGCTTGGTAAACATCAGTGTGGCGCCCGAGCTTGCGGGCGGTGGTTTTCTTCTATAAATCTTCCATAAAAAATAAATTAGTATTAAATAATAGACTGTACATTATTTGTATTGCTACGTATATTACTATTACCGTGTATGATTTTTGTGAATTTGCATTATCCACCATTGCCTTCGTCTTTTTCTTTTGAGTGCAGTGCAGGTGCAGTGATTATTGGAGAATATTCAAATCCTAAACATAGAGGCACTTACTTAAATTTAAAAACAGCCAGCGTTTGCTTGGGGGCATGATGATTCACATCCTGGGAAATTTTTATCACTGGAGAACTGTCGCATTACTATCACTATTCCCGTATATTATTTTCCTTGTCATAATTTTTACTTGGCCGGAAAGTCCTGCATGGTTAGTTTCAAGAAAAGAATTCGAGAAAAGTAAAAAGGCGTTTTATTGGTTAAGAGAGCATAGTGAAGAAGCTGAAAAAGAATTATATGAACTAATCAGAGCTCAAAAGGATAAGCCGGCTGATATAAATAACAGCAGTTTCAACGAGAAAGTTGTTCAATTTTTAAAGAAATTTACGAGGAAAGGTTTCGTGAAACTAATAGTCATAATAATGTTTAGCGGGCTGCTACTTGAAACTTGCGGTCGGCACATTTTTCCCGCATATGCCTTACAAATTATTGGTGAAGTGACAGGGGACAAATCTCAATCATTTCATTATACATTAGCTTTAGATATAATTATAACGACCAGCGCTATATTTTCCTCGGTATTGGTCAAAATTTGCAAGCGTCGCACTCTTCTATTTGTTTCTGGATTTTGTGCTTTGTTTATTTTATTTAGTGTATGCACGTACCTTTATCTAGTATCTAAAGCAATAATTTCTAACAACTATACTTGGATACCAATATCGTTGTTTGTATTGTATTTTATATTGGCCAATTTGGGCTGTACACCAATTCCTCTAGCTTTATTAGGTGAAGTGTTACCATTAGCTTACAGAGGTTCTGGATCAGCTGTTGCAGGTCTTGTAATGTCTCTTATCATGGTGGTAGCACTCCAAATTACACCATATTTACTCGAAAGTGTTAAAGTTTATGGTACATTCACTGTATTCGGATCAGCTATGGGCTTAAGTCTAGTGACTGGCTTTATTTTATACTACCCGAGACAAAAGACAGAACTTTGCAGGAGATTGAAGATTATTTCAATTACGGAAGATTTAGGAACCAGGAAAAGCTAAGTAATAACGAAGAAGAAGTAAAAATGAAAATGATTATTTGAACAGATTTCTTATACAAGAAAATAACAATTTTTAATTAGGGTAACTATCTTTTTTAAATGATCAAGCTAGTCAAGTATTTAGTTATTTAATTGAATCAGTAGACTTGTTATTATAATTTAAAAATATAAGTTCATTTAAAAAAAAACTATTTCTTAATTAGGGTAACTATCGTTTTTAAATGATCAAGCTAGTCAAGCATATAGTTATTTAATTGAATCAGTAGACTTGTTATTATAATTTAAAAATATAAGTTCGTTTTGAATAATTTATTACCCAATTCACTATGAACATGATAAGGTGTCATTTATGATATTGTCACGAAAGCCAGTACGAGTAACAATACTCGATACTCAACAATGAAAAGGTTGTAGTAAAACTGTGCCAGTGACAATTACAATCTGTGACGTCAAAACTTACCATCAGATCCCAAGTAACCGGGATAGCCTAATGTATCAAGTAAGCTGAAATGAATGGCAGCAATAGAGCTCGAAGGACCGACAACTTACGAAAAAAAAAGTTTCTCGAGTGGTAGCCTCGTACAGTTAGACGAAGTTTAGGGCGGCCTGTCAGCAGATGCAGTGACGACTTCGTAAGTGATGCAGTAAGTCGTTGAGTGCAGATGGCCAGGACCGTGCTTTGTGACTACCTCATTTATGATGAGCCATGAGTTGCTGGGTTCGAATACCCGGTCGGGTCAAAATCGGTTATTGAATTTTTTTGTCGAGAAATTCTAAGTATTATGAGAAATTCTTATTATTAAGTCCGAAGACAAGAAGTTGATGGTGCTCGGAAAGCGGAAAGCACGTAAAGCCGTTAGTCCTACGCTTGACCTCTCTCCGGTCGTGTCGGATTGCCGTATCATTGTGCTATGCGAATGAGGTAATAGGAGTGTGATTGCGTACATACTCATGCACTATAATCCTGTCCTGCGCAGATAGCTAGTCACCGTTGAGACTGGCTGGCCATCGTGACCGAAATGCGGTCTGGAGGAAATTATTATACAAATAGTGAGTTTAGCACCGTTGAAGGGTCTGTCCAATTTTCAACGGAATCGAAGGGTGGTCAAAATTGTTATTAGCCGACTTTCCTACCTAAATTGTGTTTATTATTTATATTCGTATTTTGTTACAATAACCATAAGAATAAAATAGTATTCTATTTTATTCTTAGAATAGAAAAACATTTATTTAATGAACACAATAAAAACAAAATAATAAGTGCGCCTTCGGGTGTACAGACACTATCTAAGTGAACAGGTTTATACCAAATAATTTACAATGAACGATTTGTGTTGCTATAGAGCTTTGTTTTTATTTAACCTTATCTTATACATTTGATAAAAATCGAATTAACCTCTTTTCTATTATGATTATTCGTAAACATACTACCTATTATAATGCTATTATAATGCTACGGGTGTGGGGTGGCGGCAGTGGCGGCCCTAGCAAAATTTTTAGCTGGTGCGAGATTTTAACCTCAGTAATTTTAGAACACAATTTATGTAAGTATAGCCTAGTCGTCACGTGTATTTTATATTTATTTTTCTCTCTCTGTTTGTTTGTTTTATATGTTATTACTTACCGTTAGAATTTACTTGTATTATATATATATATATATATATATATATATATATATATATATATATATATATATATATATTATAGTTTTATATATGTAGGTATTTATAATTCACGCATATTTTTATTTGTTTTTATAAACGGCGAGACACATGATTTACTGTTTTATTTCAGTCTGAGAATAGCAGTGACAACATCACGACAGCTACAGTTGGTTGGATGGTTAAAAAATATCTTCCCTTCTCATTTTTCGATGACGAAGCTACACAAGTATATTTTCGATCAATTTGCCCAAATATGGTGTTTCCTAAAAGGTCCACACTTAGAAGGAAGGTCAAAGAACGGTTTGAAGAGCTTCAATTGAATCTTAAGAAACGATTACAACAATTTTCATCTAAAATGTCATTTACCATTGATGGATGGACGTCAATTGCTGGTAGGAGTTACTACGGGGTCACTATTCATTATATAGACAACGAATGGAAGTATCGATCTGTAGTCCTTGATTTTATACCATCACGCGGTCGACATACTGGGGAAGATATTGCAACGATTTTCCACGAATGTTTATTGGAATATGACATAATTGATAAAATACAGGGTATCACGGTCGACAACGCAACTGCAAATACCAAATTTATGTATGAATCGGACAAACAGCTGCCACACTTTGGCAAATTAAAAAAGTAAGCCTTCGCAAATTTAATGAACTTTGTAAAGAATATAAAAGTCTACACTCAGTGAATACAGCTCTAGAATCACCAAGAAATGAAAAGAAAGTATGTGAATATGATGAAGATGAAGACGTAATAGACTTTGGGAAATTGTATGCATGTCCCTCGACTTCATCTGGAATATTTTCATCAAGGCTTAGTTATAGACGAGTTGGAGGAGTACCTAAGTAAACCCAGAGCCGCCAGTTCGGAAGACATTTTAGAGTGGTGGAGGACGCATGAGACAGAATATCCGACTTTATCGAAGATGGCCCGTGATTTTCTTTCAATACCTGCAACTTCAGTACCTGCTGAGAGATTATTTTCTAAAACATCATTAGTAATTAGAAAACATAGAAAGAGGTTAAGTGATGAGTCAGCCAGATTGTTACTTTGTATTAATTCTTGGTCAAAAGAATTAATATAAAGTAACAGTAATGTCAAAGATGTTGTGTACTGTTATGTAATTTAATTTGTATTGTAATTTATTTTTTATTTAAATAAATGGTAAATTGTATAACTTTTATTCCATTTCATATAAGGGTCTATCAATCTCTTTCTAGACAGATAATGTTCTTTTTTTAATACAGTCAAGTTAATGTCATTAATTTGTTTTTTATATGTTTTGACTAAGTTTTAGCACATGTAAGCTTATTAAATGTAAACGTTTATTAAGAAACAGACTAACTCCCGTGGCCGTGAGACTTGGTAGACAGCTCAGTTGGTTAGAGCGTCGGCACGGATCGCTTAGGTCGTGGGTTCAAACCCCACCCGGTATTAGTTGATTTTTCGAATTTCTCATTAAATGTTTAGACATTTATTAATTTGGTTGGTCTTTCTATGGCTATGTTAATTCAAGCTCAAAATGTGCCTACTCTGTTAAGCTGTTCTAAGATCTATAGTAACGTTTAATAAATAACAATAGGCTAATAGGTAATTGCGAGACTTGCGAGACTCTTGCTGCAAGACCAAGACCAAGAACAAGACTGAGAGCGGAATACCAAGACCAAGAACAAGACCAGGTATATTGGCGCAAGACCAAGACTGGCTAAGTCTCGTCTTGTTCTTGCATTTTTCTAAGATTATTATTAAGAAGAATATTAAATAAAAGTTGCCGAATGTGACGAAAAGGGGTCGCACTCAGCATTTGGCGTGGCGAACCAAAGTTTTCAGTGTGGCCCGTTTCGTCTCTTCCGAGTAGTTCGAGCAACGATTTATAAAACTACCACTCACTGACTGACTATAACGATATCGCAGGAACTACAAAACATACAAACTTGAAGTTTGTAAGTTAGGTTCCTTTTATGGCATAGAGATCTGTTAAGAAACGGTTTTGAGAAAATCTATCCCTAAAGGAGTGAAATGGGAGTTGGAAGTTTGTATGAAAGGCCTACGTTTTTGAAGTTAGAGACACGAAAATCGGCATTAAAGTTATAAGTTTTCAATAATAAAATCCTGAATAAGCTGTTTTACGAAATCCTAACCCTAAGGGGGTGAAATTGGGGTAAAATGGTTACATGCAAGTCCTATATTTTTAAAGTATAGATATGAAGATCGACATTTACTTTATTAGTTTTAAATAATAAATACTTGCATAGTTAAGCTTTACCTATATTGCCTTTTTATATTTAGCTAAGACTTTTGCAGCGAGAAAATTTCAAAATCTCATAGGAAATCAGATATTGTACGCGGACGAAGTCGCAGGCGGCCGCTAGTTACATAATATATGTGTTATGTAATTGTGTGATATTTTTTCTTACCTGTTCACCTTTTCCGGTGGTTATTAAAAAGCTTGTGATACCTCCACTTAATTTTGGTTTTTCAGGAAGAAATATTTGTGATTCCTTTTTGTGGAAAGATATTAGATGCTTCCTAAAGCATGAAGTGTTTCTGCTTTTCATTTCTATTTTAACCTTTTTATGTTGGCATAATTTACACGAAGCAATTTGGGATGCATGAATTATGTCGAAAAACTCATCAAATTTACTTTTAGGTCTTTTAGATCTAACTCCAACTCTCACTAGACTCCGACTAGAACTATTCGACTCTTCGTCACTCATGTCAAATTGTAAACTTATCACTCCGAGAACAACAAGGATTAGAGTAAAAACAATTAATACATTAGGCTCGAAGCAAATCTCAATTGGGAATGACTGGAATTAAAATAAATACTACTATTTGTAAGTACACGCCGAAAGACCGACAAAGGAAAGTTCGGCATCCTTTGATAAAATTAATGATTCTTCAGAAGATTAATAAAGTAGATGCGTTACCAGATAGGTATAGTGTGCCTACGTAAAAATGAAATGTAAATATGTAAATAAAATTGTGTATATTATGTTCTTCTTGTGATTGAATTAATCTACGTTAATTAAATTAAATTTACCTTCACTCATTTGAAATTCAAAATTCAAATGTGTTTTATTCAAGTAGGCATTAAAAATACACTTTTGAATAGTCATATAATCACTGTTTTCCCCAATTTTTTCTTTTCCATGTCCAGGGGTTCTGATTCTACTGAGAAGAATCACGGAAGAACGTAAGAAACTCAGTAGTTGCTCTTTTCAAAATATTTTTACAATAGTTCTATAATTATGTAAAGCGATAAGTCAAACATAAAATGTCAAATGTATATGTAGATACCAAATCGGTTTAGAAATTTCTAGTT